AAACGTCTCTTCCAGGACTACTTTATTCTCTTGCCGTGGAAACATGCTTGTTTCAGGGATCGTTACTCAGCAATGGATGTTGTATAGTTGCTTCCTTCGTGGTCGTTGCCTAGCAAAGGGTATACGTGCCACAATATAAAGATTGTCTTCTGTAACGTTACACAGTGTAGTCTGATAGAATATTACTAACGACTATGTGGAGGTTGCGCCTCCACTTTTTTGTGGTTTACTTTACGACCTAATTCTTCCAGCCGCACTATGGCCCTGGGGTCGGCTCAGTCTCTAACAGACATGAGTACCAGGAATCTTCCTGGGTGGTAAAAGGGCAGGCGGATGACAATCTCACCTCTATCTGTGAGCCGACTGTCTAGAAAATGTGGGAGCCTCGATGTCTCACAACCCTATGGGCTATGGCATGTTACAAGGATAGCTATACCTTTTCTACTTTACGACGCGGTCAGTTGGGATACTATCAGAGTGGAATGGCATGATGATTAATGGTGACTAATTGGAATGGGTTTGGAAGGAGGTCTTTGTGACCTAATCGAGGTACTATCGCATCTAACCGCTAAGCCAGACCGCTCAGTACCTTCGTCCCCAATGTATACGAGTGAAAATGCTATTCTGCCCTGAAAAAGGAAGTACCAAATTTTTCGAAAAGTTCGTAATCTCTACTATTGTACACCGTGTCGCATAAAGTAATCTTCAGGTTTTTTTTTTATTATTTCTATATACTTTCTCGTAAGTGAAACAAAAACAAAAGAAGATAAACTCCGTAGTTTTAGTCCGCAAGTGAACTATACCGACCGAGCCACCGCCGCTTGTCGGCGAAGTTAGTGCCACCTTTAGCAGGCAGAGGGTGTCGCGTGGTCAGCGCAACGAATCTCCATGCTAGTTAATTTCTGTTTTCTAGATTGGAGCCGCTATTTCCTTGAAACAGCTCCTCAATTATCCTCACGAGGCTGAGTGGACCCCGTTCCAGACCCACTATTTCTCAGAAAATCTGGTAGCGCCGGGAATCGAACCCGAGACCTCTGGATCTGTAGCCAGGAACTCTGACCACTAGACCAGAGAGGCGGTATTCTCGTGAGTAAACCAAAGGCAAAAAGCATGGGCGCTGTAGTCAGTCAGTTGGAATGCAACCCGCTCGAGCTAACCTGTGTACCGTATTGAGCCACACGTGTTTATGAATGTTACCACTTCCTGCACCTTCAGAGGCGTCTCCTCTGCCGCCTTAACATTAAATTCCTACGCAGACCCAGATAACCGGATGAAATGAGTTCAGACCACATTTTTAAGAACACCTTCTGGCCACCACGTATTTCCACTTTACCTTGAGTCAACCATAAGTAGGACCTAACACAGTACAGCGTGGCCACAAAGTCAACCAAGACGAGTAGTGGTAACGCTCAAGACTTATTCGGGAGATCTGCGATTCGAACCTCAGAAGGGACATCGGGTATTCAGCCGAGGTAGAGAAGTCGGTATAGCGACTGCTTACGGGTGGGGCGAGCGAGGGATCGGAGTTCGAGTGCCGGTAGAATCAAGAATTTTCTCCACATCGTCCAGACCGACTCTGGGGCCCACTCAGCCTCGTATCCAATGGGTACCGGGGGGTTTTCCCCGGGGGTAAAGCAGAAGGGCCGTGAAGCTGAGCACTCACCTCCAGCTAGTGCCGAGGTCAAGAAAATGTGGATCTATACATCCATTCCCCCATACGCCTTCACGGCGTAGTGCTTAATTAGTTAAGCACAGGGACATCAGCTATTCTGAGGTTCATTTCCGTTTTTACTCAGTCTTTCTAAGCAAATAAAGCGGTAGTACACTCCGATCGTTTCCTTCCAAATCATTTCAAATGAATCATTCATATGTCATCCTACTATTTGACGCTGTACGGCCTAGCTACTGAGATCGTTGTAAAGTAACCCCTCATCGCCCCAGAGAGGCTTATATTGTCGCGGTGCAGTGGTTACTTGAAAGATACCGCGCCTGAAACTAGGTCATCAGATCGATTCTCGCAGATAAGGTATGCAGTTTATCTTATTCAAAGGTTTTAGTATCTTAAGATTATGAAATGATAATTCTCAAATTCGCATAGTGGGGGGTGGAGTCCAGCTGGATCCACTCGGCACGGCGGCCACTGATTGGTCTATTGTACCTGCGCCGGGTGATTATGATGATAGAAAATTTGGTGGAAGGAAGATTGGCAGGGGAAACCGAAGTACTTGGAGAAAACCCGCCCCAGAGCCACTGTCCACCAAAAGTCCCGCTTGACCGAACCCGGGCCGCCGCGGTGGGAAGCCAGCGAGTAACCGCTTGAGCTATGGCGCGCCCTTATGAAATGACATGTTCCTTCCCAAAACTACCAAATTCATAATTCAAAATAATCTTGCTTGACATATGATTTACTACATGCAGTGCGCAGATCACAGTGATCGCGGGGTCTAAAGCATGAAATGTCTTCTCCCGTTCGAACACTGGAATCGTTGGTTCGAATCCCACTCGAGGCATGGATGTCTGTGTGCGTTTACTCTGTCTGTGTGTAGGCAGTGCCTTGAGATGGACTGATTCCCCGTCCAAGGAGTCCTACCGACTGCCTTAGATTAAGAAACTGAAGTGTGCACCAATTGGGAGCAACATGAATAGAAGAAGAAGAAGAAGA